ACTGACCCCCCCCCCCCACTCTCCCTATCTGCATCCCCATCTTCACTCTAAACTTCTAACAGACAACTTCAGTACTCTGACAGGGTCAGTTTGAATTAACATCCAAGCTGTATCTGGTTTACAAATCTGAGTCTTCCCAATACTTAATTCAACATACTTTTCACAAGCATCACACATATTTGAAAGGAAAAGCTCTGCAGAATCTAAATCATATTGAGGGTAGGACTGGGGGTGGGGTTGGAGTAGAAGAGGTGAACAAGTTAATCTTAAAACCCCTAATCAAAGTCCTTTCTCTATCTTCCAGCCTACCTGGCTGTAAAATGGTTGGCTGCTGAATCACCAGTCCAGCATTTCCTATCATGTTAGTGGCATACTGATAAAGATCAGTGTTGGTGTGCTGTTTGAGAGCTTAGAGGGAAATAGCCAGCTAGGAAATGAGGGCAGAAAGAGAATAAAGTATGTGAGGAGGGGAGAAAAAAAAACAAGCTGTTTCAATTCTCAAGACAAACGCTGACATGAACACAGGATACAAAACAATCAGAAATTTACTTTTTAAAGCAGGTTAATGCTTCAATTGAATATGCTCTGGCTTAAGAGTGTTCCTTTCAGGAGAAATTAAATAAGGATTTTGTTAAACTGATTTTTAAAAGCAATAGCTATCTAATGTTACACTATTATCAAATGAAGCCCCCCAGCTTGAAGGATATTATGACAAAATGAAGATCTGCAACAGCTTCCTAACAGAAATGAAAGAATACTCTTACATCACTAGGTAACACAAGCACTGCATCATCCTTCTTTGTAGATAGTCTACTGCTATAAACACAAATTGTCAGGCAGCTCTAAAAGAGCAGGCAGTCATTAGAATCTGACAACAGACTGCTTGTGATTCTCCAGATTCCCTTCTCCCTGGGGTCATGCTTTGGTCCCTGGCCAGGCTCAAGTCTGCTTACCTTCAATTACAGCTTTCTTTTTTCTGCCTCAAGGAAGAAATAACCTTGGCAGCCCGCATTTGGTCATTTAGGTTGAGAAGCTTTTACAGAAAGAACCCCGGTATAAACTGCTTTAGAGGGGCCCTTGCTGCGTTCTCTTTCACAGGAACAAACACCACCTAAAGAACCACCAGTGTTCCCCGGCAGAGAGTGTGATGTCACTGTTGGAATCACGTGACCAGACCCTTGGACCAGCCTTAGAGAAAGGAAGATTTTTTAACCGAGCACAGAAGCCTTAAAGATGTAGTCTCATCAAAACAAATGCCATAAAAATGAGGGCAGTCAAGGCAGTTCAGAAAAACTGGGGTCCATTTCCATCTGACTTCTTTCGCTTAGTGTAATACCCTCAAGGAAGGACAAAAATCATATGATATCACTCATGTGTGGGATATAAAATAAAAAAGAAACAAATAAATGAACAAACAAAACAAATTCACAGATACAGAGAACAGACTGCTGGTTACCAGAGGGGAGGGAAGAGGGAGAGGGCAAAATGGGTCAAGGGGGTCAAATGTATGGTGACGGATGGAAACTACCTTTTGGCGGTGAGCACACAATAGGGTATACAGCTATCAAATTATAATGTTGTACACCTGAAGCTTTTATAATGTTATAAACCATGTTACCTCAATAAAAAAATTTTTAAAGAGAAAACTGGGGTCCAGACAAGTTTTAGTCTTCAGACCTCATTTAGCAGAAAATCCAAGAAGGCAAAGTAGAAATCTCCAAAAGCATTTAGAGTTACAGGGATTCTAAGTAAAAAGGGGAGAGAGGCAAATATGCAAAAGAATTTTTTTAATGTGTTTCATAGCAATAACCCAGATAAAATCTCACAGATACAACATTGAGTGAAAGATCCCAGACACAAGCGAGTACATAGCATGATTCTTCTGTTCATACAAGTTCAAAACCAGACAAACCTACATTATATTCTTTTTGTATAGGATACAAATTTAAGCAACTACATTACAAAGAGAAGCAAGAAAATGACAAAAGTAAAGACAGTGACTATCCAGAGGAAGAGAAGAGGTTGTCATCTGGATGGAGTGCATGGTGAGGGTGGAACTTCTAGAATGCTTGTAATTTTTCTTGATCTGAGTGGTGATTACCTGAGTGTTGACATTATAATTATTCTTTAAACTGTACACATGTGTTTTATACCTTTCTATGTAAACATCATAGTTAGATAAAAATATTTTTTAAATGAACTGCACATGAACTGACTATATAAGGTCAGTTCTTTAAAAGCACCTAACAGCTTTGAAAACCCAGAATATGAAAATGAGTTGTTCCTTACTATTAGTGTTCTAGCCAGAAAGCAACATCAAATCTGATCTCATTAATCCAAACTGGGTAAAAGTAGCTATTTCAGCCATGAAAATAAATTCACAACTTTATTTACATTGTTTTAAAGGCTTTCCCTTCCCTGGCCCTATTCTGAAGGCTATTTTTATACAGATCTTAATTGTGCAATAAGGCCAGTTCAATAAAGAAGAATCAAATTGCCATCTCCCAACTTCCTAAGTGAATCCACAGGACAGCCACTGTTAAACATTAATCCAGTTAGTGTGCTCCAATAATCAAACCTAAATGGAGGGCTTTAAAATGTGGGGTTACTCTCATCAACTCTTATGGCCCAATGCATCCTGAAATGTTAATACAATAAAACATTATAAAATGTGAGGAACTTCAAGAAACCTGTACCCTCTTTGTTCAGTCCATCATTATAACATCTCAGTTTCTTGATGAACTAATCTAGCATGACTGAGAGTTAAAATGAAGTAGAAACTGATGGTATTATGACAATGAACTACAAAGCTTAAAAAGCAAAACTATTTGTGGTCCAAGTGTGACTGTCTTGCACAATTACACTTTTTAGAAAAGTATCTATATCTTACTTAAAGAGGATGACATGCCCAACCTCACAATCCTCCTTCAAAGTCATTCTCTATTAAGTAGGATTCTACCTCAAGTATTTAAAGACCACTACGGAATTCACTTATATTATCTAATAAGACTTACATTACCTTATGAGATTATTTTAAACTTTAAGATGCTATTTGTTATGGTACCTAAAAAATGTGCTTCAACATACAGTGACTGGATCACATAACTAGTACCATGTTACTAACTTTTGATGAAAGTTCATATATTTTTCAAATGCTACATCAGTGCTTCTAGGGGAAGGACTTTTTTATTACATGTAAATTTACTTCTTTTCAAAACTAGAGGGCTAGTAGCTATGATGCACTCCTCATACTAAAATGGGGTTTAATTACAATTCAGATTAAGAAATGGGGCACTGCTATTCAAAATTTGATATATTTCTTTTACTCTTTTCTACGCCCCCATTCCTTCTCTGCCACATTTATAATCTCTAGTATATGTTCATTATACAGACTGCCAG